GTGGAGGTGGGCTGGGCAGTGGAGCTGTGGCTGTGCAGTGGAGGTGGGCTGGGCAGTGGAGCTGTGGCTGGGCAGTGGAGTTGTGTCTGGGCAGTGGAGGTGGGCTGGGCAGTGAAGCTGTGGCTGGGCAGTGGAGCTGTGACTGTGCAGTGGAGCTGTGGCCGGGCAGTGGAGCTGTGGCCGGGCAGTGGAGCTGTGCCTGGGCAGTGGAGCTGTGGCCGGGCAGTGGAGCTGTGGCTGGGCAGTGGAGGTGGGCTGGGCAGTGGAGCTGTGGCCGGGCAGTGGAGGTGGGCTGTGCAGTGGAGCTGTGGCTGTGCAGTGGAGGTGGGCTGGGCAGTGGAGCTGTGGCCGGGAAGTGGAGCTGTGCCTGGGCAGTGGAGCTGTGCCTGGGCAGTGGAGCTGTGGCCGGGAAGTGGAGCTGTGCCTGGGCAGTGGAGCTGTGGCCGGGCAGTGGAGGTGGGCCGGGCAGTGGAGCTGTGGCCGTGCAGTGGAGGTGGGCTGGGCAGTGGAGGTGCAGCTGGACTCTGCACAGAGGGTGAGTGTTGGATAATCTGCGCTGCAGGTGCTCTGCTACCCCCGCGGATGGCTCATAAGTTCCAGGTGGGATCTGAAGGAACTGGCACTGCCCCATTACGTTCTTCTGTGGCTTCATTCCTGGCAACTTCAGCAGCTTCCCCTCTCCCTGCTCAGCATTAACACAGCTGTGCTCAGCGGACCCGACGGTGCTGGAGCAGCCTCCATCAGCAGCGGGAAGCTGCCAGGCTCCGCTCCCCGGAGGGCTCCCGGCCCCGCGGCTCCGCCTGCCAGCTCGGGCTGTGTTAACCCCCCGGGCACGGCACTGCCCCAGCCTGGCCGCAGCCTGCCACCGCCAACACTTTCAATTAGGAATTCTCCAGGGTGGCCTTGTCCTGCTTGGTATTAGCTCAGTTTGCTTCCATTTTGCTCTATGGATTTTCAATAGCTATGATAGAACAGTGTACATAGAAACAAAAGTATTGAGATATAATGGTGACATTTTTCTCCAGAATTTTTATCTTCATCTGACCAGGGATACAAGTGGTAGGGTAACATTCCAGTATCTGTTAACAGACACTACCTTGAAAGTGGGCTGTCACAGCTATTAAAATATTTTACCAGCAAAAGTCATGCAACACCACCTGTGACAGAGGCTTGTGACACTGGTTTTGATCCCCTGAAAGAATAGAAAATGTGAATAGACTGTTTAATGGTTGTTTTCTATTAGGGATGCATACTGTGGTTACTATGAGGTGGCTCATGCCAGCACCTAGTGGCTCTGAAAATGGCACTGTCAGACCTGGAAGGTCCTCCCAGCATGGCAGGGAGTGTGCTGCAACAGTGTCCCCCCGCCCTCAGCCGTCCTCCCTCTCTGCTCTTCACCATGGGGTCATGCTGTGAAGATGAGCTCCTGCTGCTCCTGCTGCCACAGCTCCAAGGTCTCAGTGGTGGCAGCGGGAGCAGAGCCTGTGCCTGCACAACATCTCCCAGCTGCCATGGCTGCACCTCACAGAAACAGGAAACTCCAGCAAACCTCTGTGGGATCTTGTCTGTGATTGTCCCCACCAGCTCCCACTCAGCTTCAAAAGCTGGAGGCTGAGGGGCTGCTCCTGTGGCTCAGCTGAAGCCAGAGACAAATGTTGGCTGCTGTATGATGACTAAGTCTCACATGCTTATTGCTCCTATCAGTTAGAGCTCTTAATCACTTTGTGCTGTTTCATCCTATAACGTGAATTCACTTCAAGCTGTGAAATTCACCGTTTTTGCCATGACTAATTTGTGAAATCTGCCACCTTTCTTTGTGGTTCACGTTGTGCCCTAGTTAGGCATCATCTGTCTGATTGGGGAAGCCTGTGATTTGCTTCTTGCAGTTGAGCCAATACAATCTCCTTCCCCTCCTTTCTTGTCTCTGCACTCAGCTGCAATTTCACTGTCACCCGTGCCCTTGGATGCACTGAGGCTGGCGTGGTGTGGAGGCCACCTCTGCTGGGCTGGCACAGGAGTCCTGGCTCTCCCCCTCCTCAGAACACGTGCACAGGGCTCAGCCTATGCTGGGGCCACCTCTGCTGGGCTGGCACAGGAGTCCTGGCTCTCCCCCTCCTCAGAGCACGTGCATAGGGCTCAGCCTGGGCTTTAACCCTGGCCTTGCTTGAAGCTACCTAGTCTGTTATGTTTACCATCTTCCTAGATTTCTCCCAGCCTGGTTGCTGCAATATTTTGGAAATCATTTCCCACCTGCCTTGCCAGTGCCTTGTTTCACGATACATTCATCTGTTACTCTTTACATTGAATGTTGCTGGCATTACTAAATGCTATAAATATACCCAGTATTCCATAAAAACACACAAGCAGATGACTGGTCTTGCCTACAAGAAATACTATGAATTTTTCATTTTTTCACATGCTCTGAGCAAAATTCAGAGGGTGCTTGAGGAACATCTCATAACTGAATCAGGTCCTAAATTCCTATTTTCTCGCTAATTAGTTATTTCCTAAAAATATTTTCCTGCACTCTTAATGTCTTAATTGTTCCTTGAAGATGTTGCCAGCTCATCCATCCTTTTTCACACCCTCTTATAAGCCCAGTGAAACATTATTTTAGTATTTCTGTCGCTGAAATACAGTGATAAATGGTCTTCTTTTACAATCAGTGGGAACAGAATAATTGATGTGTGGGAGAGCTTATTGACTTGCTCTTGCCAAAATGGAGTCCTGCCATGAAGTTCAGAAGGATCACAGGATGCCCTGGATACTCCTTGTGCTCCTCTTTTCTTGGTGGCAAAGCTGATGGGTTTGGGCTGCTCATCTTCACAAGCTAATGATGGAAAAGCAAAGGAAACCTTCTCTCCTAGCTCTTATTTTAACCAGAACTTTCTTTTCCATCTTTCTTCCTATATTCTTTTTTTACCAGTTTCACTCAAAGTTAATCACCTCTCTGCCTTAAAAACAGTCGTGTGAGTAAGATCAATAGCATGATTCCTCTTAACAGATAAATAAATGGACAAATCTCTGAGAGTCCCTGGCTGTAATTAACCCTTTATCAAAATCCCAGAAGAGGAGGTTAAGGAGCAGCCCAAGTGCATGTTCATGACTTTGTCCAGCTATCAGAAAACCTAATGGGCCTGATCCTGCTTCTGCTCACAGAGCTGCTAACATTTCCCTGAATGACCCTGAGAGCAGGATTGTGGCTGGTGCCCAGCATCCCATGCCCTTCTGTGTGTTTGCTGCATCCAGCACAGCAATCCTGCAGCCCTGCTGGCCCAAGCCACTCACTTACCCCCACTGCAGCCTAATCAGATGGCAATAAAAGCTTTTACTGTGCCATCCTGTTTGTGCTCAGCAGAAACATAAAAAGCATATTAGAAAATTGATTTTTGGCATTAATTGTGAGCAAAGAACATTATACTGAGTAGAGACAGGGTGGTGTTTTTTTCAGGCAGAAAAATTCTATTTTAGTCTTTTAAAAGCGACTGTGGAAGATGCTGAGCTAAGCCCCATGGACACTCTTTTCAAATACCATAAGGCAAAGAGTAGTTACTGAATCTCCTCAGTCTTATTAGCTTACATAAACATAAAAATTTGAATAATGTTTAAAAAGCTAAATTCTCCAGATAATCCATAATCAGTAAATGTTCATTACTGAGATGTAGCAAATATGCATGAGATTTCCCCGGTGGTATTTTGGTTGCACGATCTAAAAGGAGTAGAAAAGCCTCCTCCATGTGGGGCTGGGCAAAAACTTCTATAGGCTCCTGAGGCCATTTGGCCACAGTGTGGACCTTCCTGGTCCCTTCAGGAAGGAGCAGGAGGAAATCAGAATTCACTGTCTTTGTTACAGCTCTGGTGATTTATAAATAAATCATCCCCACAAGATGATTGATGTCTCCATATAAATAATTAAGTCTTGACCTTATGTTATGACACCTGCTAAATTTTTTGGCACTTGAAACCAGTGCTCAGGAGAGATCCTTGACTGTGGATAAATGCCTTGACTGTGGATAAATGAAGGTGGGACTGCATTCAAGGGGGAGGGGGAGACAGGTTTTTGTTTACCCTCATTTTGTTCTGTTTGATTCCATCAGCTAATTGATGATGATTATTAATCTCTGTTGCCATCTACTCTATGGATTTAATTCCTGCCTGTGATTGCTGTTGGAAAGTTAGCTCCATTAGAAGCAGACTTTGATTGGATTTCCAGTAGCCAGAGTTTCCCAGATGTCCCCCAAATCATTGTGGTACCTAGTCCAGGCACCTTACAATTGTTTTTGGTTGCAATTTACTTTGTTTGGTGGCAGAGCTCCAGGAGCCTGGGTGACACTGTCGTTATGCTCAACCAGGCTAGGTAGCAGGTGTCAGCAAAAGTTTAATTTGGAAGCTCATGAATTCAAAAGAAGAGCTTAACAGTTATCCCCAACACAGAGAGCTGCTGTGGCCTGAGCCTGGAAAAGAGAAAATCCCAGGGACATGAAAGGAATTGATGAGACACCAGGCATCTGACAAAATGAAATCTTCTTGGGATAAACTGAGGATAGCTTTCTTGTCAAATAGGGAGCATCATTGATAAACAAAACAGATTTAGCAGCAGCATTTCCAATTCTCATTTCTGAGACCGTTCAGGTTTACTATTCACCCTCTCTCCCTGGTACTGTAGATACAGCCTATTCTCTTAATAGCTGCAACTTTTAAATCTTGCAATAAAATACAACAATTTCCTATGTAGGTGTCTAACATTAAAAAAAAGAGCATCTTTGGGTTTTTTAAAACATGTTAATCTACATGCAACATAAGTCGGCTACAGACAGAAAGCAATATTATAACATAATCACAATAAGGGGTTTTCCTAATCCCTGAAAAATCTTAAACTAATGACACATCTACGAGCAGCTATCACATCATTCCTGACTACTTCCAGCAGCACCCGGGAATCCCAGAGCTCAGCAGGGTGCTGTCCGGTTGCCATCACCAGCACCCTGGGGCGAACATACTTGTACAAATCATTCTTGCCGTGGTTTGAACACACCCGTTCTGGAGGCTGAGGTGTGAAGGGGCATTGCACGGTCCGAGCTGCCCGTGTGGCCGAGCAGGGGCAGGGCTGAACAGCACTCCTGCGGGAGAGCAGCGCCCAAAGAAAGCCCCTGTTCTCTAAAGATAGCTCCAGAAATTAAAAAGTGCCTCCGAGTCCCGTCATACCGCTCCTGCTCGCACAGACTGAACTCCGCGTGAACCGGGTTTCCAGTCTAGGGAGATGCCTGCATTTATCAACTAGTTTGCTTTGGACCCGTTGTTTTCCTTACAGAAATCCATGCCGGAGCCGTACCCGTGAGCATTCAGCCCGTCGGAGCCGGCGGCTCCATCCTCCCTGGGGATGGGTCCCGGTGCCGGTGCCGGTGCCCGAGCGGGGCTGGGCCGGCCCCGCCCGGCAGCGAAGGGAGCGGAGCGGGCTGGGGCGGAGGGGACGCGCCGCAGCCCGGGGCGACCCGCACCGCGCCCGGCTGCCCCTGCACCCGCAAATCCCGGCACCGGCAATTACGGCTGTAATTTCACCGGGAATCACAGCGCCGCGAACCGGGAAAGCAGCCCTGAGGTCAGGGGGTCGCACCGCCGGGATGAGGAGGGGACACGGCACGAGGGGCCCCGCCGCAAGTTTGGTCACTTTCCCGAAGTGGTGCGGGGAAAAGTTGGGGAGCGGCCGGGGGATGCGGGGATGCGGGTGGCGAAGCGCGTCCCGGGCCCGGGGACGGGGGGGGGTTGGGGTCTCGCCACTGACCTGCGCCGCGGCCGCGCCGCTCCCGCGCTCGCTCAGCGCATCCTCCGCGCCGCTCCCGCCGCCGCCCTGCGCGCCGCAGCCGCGGCTCCGCGCCCGCGATGCTCGGCGGGGAGGAGAGAGTGAAGCGGGACAGCCCGCCCGAGACGGGAGGCCGCCGCCCCCCTCCCCGCCTCCCGCCTCCCGCCCGCCGCCGGCCCCGGCCCCGCCGGCGGCCGCGCCCCGCGCCCAGCGCGCACCTCCGGCAGCAGGTGCGGCGGCCTCCGGCGGGGAGCGCTCCGCTCCCGCCGCGCCCCGGCGCATCTCCCCTCGCCGCCGCCGCGCGGGCGGGGCCGCCGCCTTTCCAGGGGTGCTCTCGCCTCAAGTTTGCCACGTTCTGGCGGCGCCGGGCGCTCCCCGCCGCTCCGCCGGATCGTGCATTGTCTGCAGGGCAGTTCCAGCGGAGCGGGGCGCTGCGGGCCGAGCCCGTGACCGCCCTGCGCGCTCCCGGCTCCCGCATGCCGAGCCCGCGCGGCTCCCGGCCGAATATTGCACCCCCCGAGGGGCTCGTGGCGGAAAGGGAAGGAAGAAAGGTCCCGGGCAGGGTGCGGGGGAAGCCTGTGCGCTCCTGCTGCCCGGTTCGTCTGGGAGGAAAGGAGAAGGGAGGCTCCTCCGTATCCTCTGTGTGGATACAAGCATCCTGCCGGGCGTCTCCTCCGGGCTGCAGTTTGCACAATATATATATATATGTATTTTGAGACTGGTTGGGAAGATGGGTGGCCCATACTCGCTCCCAAATGACGGTTGTGAACACACACCTCAAGGGCAGACACAGAAGTAATCGAAGAGAATTGAAGTGATGGTGTCCTCGAAGAACAAACTGGAGCAGACACACTGTAGCCAGGGCATGGTGGGCACCAAGGTGCCTTATCTTGAGCCTGCATATGGACTGTGGAGTAACAGCACAGAAGGGGCCTCTTGCACTCTCTGCTGGCTATTTTCCACCCTAAAATACAGAGAGGCTTTTCCCACATAACTGTGCAGCAGAATAAAGAGTCTCATGAGAGCAGAACCGGGGCATGGCTGTAATCCCCAAGAATGGCCTCGGTGCCATGCCTGGCTATTGCTGGTGTAATGAAGTGGCCATTTAATTGGACTGAATAATGCCCCCAGAGCCTGCCATCAAGGGGTACACTCCTCACTTTGGATTGTGGGTCCCAGGAGTTGCCCTGCTGCCAGGGAGCCGTGGAGCTGAGCTTTGGCAGCCTGGGGGCAGTGGGAGCTTGCCAAAAAGCAGCACCAGAGATGCTGCCTTGAGTGCCCACCACCCACCTCCACCTGACACTGTGCAGTGTGAAATGTGTGTCAAGATGGATCCTATCTATAGCCCTCAGAATAATTTCAGGTGTGTCTTTATAAATAAACTATGACATTTATCCTGTGACTAGATTAGCAGAAATATATTACACTTAGTCTGCTCCTTAGCAATCAATTGTTCTAAGTAGGTGTTATTTATCAAAGCATTGATTAGGGACCCAAGTCTGTAGTCCTTAAGCAAGCCAGCTCATTGCTGATAGGATGGAATATTTCCATGAGAGTTTTGAGATCAGACTTTGTGTAATTCCATTGTCACAGGAAAAGAAGGTGCACGTGACAGCTTTCCAGGGGAAGATGCATTCATGCCACTTGGAGTTCAAAGGAAGAATAACATGTGAAAACTGCAGTCATTGCTGTACCTGAGCCCCTTCTGTCCTGCTCTCTGTGGTGCAGGGTGCATAAGCTGTCACAGCAATACAATAAGTCTCTAACTGGGTAAAGTGAGTTGCATACTGTACATGTAAAACACTGCTCGGTGTCTGTTGCTATGGCAGGTGACCAGGGAGAAAACCTCCTCCAAGGGCCATCCCCTGGCATGAGGAACCTTCCCTGCCACATCTGGGTGGGAGCCTTTGTGAGCAGGGCGAGCAGACTGTGCCTCTCTATTCTTTATTCAGGTTGTGTTATGAAAAATGCTTGAAATGGATGACCTTGAAAACAAAGCCCAAACAAGAGTCCTGGCACTGGGTCCATTGACAGCGAGTTCTCTGCCCTGCTGCCTGCAGGACTCACAATTATGTTTTTCTCCAATTTTGGCTCCATTACTTACAAAAAATTCCTGATTATTTGAAAAATAAGGTATCTTAAACCACTGATTTCTGGGGGTTATTTCTGTGTTTAGAGGATTGATTTTTATTTTTTCCCTCTCAGTCTCCAATGGAACAGAAGGCAATGTGAATCCCTTTTGTTTACTTCTTTGTTTCTGCTCCTGACTGCTTATTAGCAGATATGTGTGTGGCTCTGCTGTGGTCTGAGGCTGGTTAGTGACTATTACAAAGTTAGGAGGAAGAGCAACAGTCACAAAGCCTTGGTTTTGAGAGGGTGGTTAGAAGAGGAAACAAAAAAAAAAGGAAATATTTATCTAGGAAAAGAATATACTTGGTAAATGCTTATGCTAGAACAATAAAATATTTTTATTCTGTTATTTCTAGGAAATGAGATTTCCAATTATTTTGATATTAAAACATGTTAAAGCAAAGGCTATATTTATTGAAGTGTTTATTATCTGTTTTATTAGTTGCACAGACTCAGACACTCAGGGTGCAAAGAAACACCCCAGCATATAATCTAGTATTGTGATCTAGTGATGCTGTGCTTATAATCAGGATTTCTGATTATCATGCATTGCACACAGTCACTTAGAGCCCTATATAGAATCTAGTTTCTTTTAAGACTGGAAGGAATTGTTTACCTTTGCTTAGTCATCAGCAAATGCAACTTATATTTTCAAAATGTTTGCTATGGAAAGATGGAGAACATTTGGGGGTGAGTGGAATTAATTGTAAAATTGTTTCTGGTGCCTGGGTACATGTAAAATGTTTCTGGTGGAAAAGACTGGAAATTATTTATCTTGATGATTTGGAGCCTGATATTTATAGCAATACTGTTTGAATGCTTTAGGAAAAAGATCATTTCTCCCATGCTGCCAATTATTTGGGGAAAAAAGGTCATTTTTTTTTAATACTATATATAGGAAAGCTTATGTGATACTGAGTCTTTATTCATCTCTCAGAAAATAGCACAGAGAAAAATGAAGAGAACATATGGTGTCTTCTATCAGTCAGTCATCATTACTGCTTCTTCACACTATGTCATCACCCCACAAATAGCAAATGAGTGTGAATTTCTCCCTGCTGAAAGAGAAAAGAAAAAACTGGTTAGTACAGCCAAGTAAAAAAAATAATATTACAATAGCATCAACTGGAACATTATATAAAATATTAATGACAATGAGAATGCAGAGGGAAAACCCTCTAAACTGTCAAACAATAGTATCAAACCTGAAAATGTTGAGCTGGAGCAGAACTCATGAATTTCTCTTGATTTGATAACCAAGCTTGAAATATTGATGGGACACAGTCTCTCTTGCCCATTCTTTATGAATGATTCTGTGCTACTTGAGGTGCTCAAACAGACAGAACTCAAATAAGAACAGAGAGGAATGTAATGTAATAGTTTGTCTCTGGGGCATCCATAAAATCTTGAATTTCCTTTTTAAGCAGACATCTAGGAAAAATATAATTTTATTTAATTCCCTGATGTTCCTATTACACTTTAGTATAAAGGTTGCAATTGAAATGCTTATCTGCAAAGCCTCTCTGCCATTCTTGGTCTCTTGCAAAGAAATGTATGACAAAGCAGCCTTGGAAATAGCTGCCACAGGAACTTCACAAACCCCAACTCTGGAAACATCTGTCCCAGCTTTGGAAGGGATATTTCAAAACCATCCTTCTTGAGAAGCAGCAAAAGCAGTTGGGGTTTATGGGGAAAAAAATGTATATATCTATATTTGTGTGTGTGTCTGTGTGTAGTGCAACAAAGCAGCAAATGAAGAGCCTCATTGGAATGTCTAAAGCAGATCTGGGCCTTGTTGTCTCCCCCATCTCTAATCCCTCATTTCCTTTGGATCCTTCCCTCCAACAGCAGCTCACAACAGGATGCTAATGCACCTGGAATTGAGCCCCACATATAAACTACATGGCAGCAACCTCATTTGCAGGCTCCACCGACTGGCACCCACTGAAATAAATGTGTATGAGCTGCTTGGTAAAGCCCTGCTTCAAACATCTGCCCATGTAGGCTCTTGGGCTAGAATTAAGTTTCTCCCATGGCCAGTTCCAAGATCTGATTGTGTTACTGATGCTGCTTTAGGGTTCCCAGACCTGACTGGGGGAACAGAGCTTTTCTCTGAAGGCCATTTTCTTAAAATTGCTTACACACAACAAGCCAGTGGGGGTGAGCTGGGCAGGCTGGGGTTTGGGACAGTGCCAGTGAGGAAGAGGGGAAAGCACAGAGTAATGCTAGGGATAGAAGAAAGTAAAGTAATAATGAATTTTTTGGGACCAAAATTAACCAAAATTAAGAAAAAAAAAATTCCATGCACTCTGCCTCTGGAGCAATGCTTCTGCATAGGTAGTATCTGGCAAGGTTTTTATGGAGAGGCAGTGTCTTTTTCAGACCAAGAAATATCCATGGGACAAATTGTAGGGTACACAAACCATTCTTTAGGAACAAAATAAAAATCTCTGGAAAGATTATAGAAACCTCAAAAGACAGAACTGGAAGAGATGTAGTAGATCATATGGTTCCTTGTTGGTAGAAGCAGTAATAAATTGCCCCCTGGAGATAGAGAACATCAGTTATTTCATAAAATATAGCCAAAGGGCCCAGGAGGAACAATATGGTTTAGACAGGAAAGCCTGAGAAACATTTGATTTAGTCTTAAGTGAGAGCAGCCAGACCTGGCAGACTCAAATTCCAAAAATGGCATTCAGAACTACTCTTTGGAAACTCCATCAATAACTTGGAGTAACTGGGAGCTGGAGTGCTCCTTACTGGGTAGGTGTGGGGTTCTTTCCACATGCAAAGATGTGTGTTGAAATGTTCCCCAGAACAACATATCAGGCTGCAGGGGTTTGGAATATTTTGCTGCTCCAGTTTTTTGTCCATCCTGAAAAAATGGTTGTTAAGATGGAGTAATTGCTGATGGCTCTTCCAAACCAAACCTGAAGGTAATGCTGTTCTCTAAGGACTAACTTGTTGCAGGTGATACAATGTGCAGTTCTAACTTTGGGTCCTCAGGGGATCCATTCAAATCTTATCCATGCTGGCATTTGGGGCTTGGGGCTCTTTTGGATTCCCTTCATTGTCCTGGATGGATTTACTTTGTCATTTCTGAGACAGTAAAGCTCAGGGACAGAATTTGCATGTGCCTTGTATGCAGCTCC